GTCAGGGCCGGTCCATTTCCTCGGCGGCACCCCGGCTCCCCTCCCTGCTGATCCGTCTCCGGGCAGCGCTGCCGACCGTCAGCAGCCGGCGCCGGTCGGCGGGCAGCGAGCGGCGGTCTGGGCCGCACCGGCCAGCCGTCAGCGCGGCATCACGGCGTCGCCCGGCACCCAGCCGGAACCGAGCGGGCAGCCGCCGCCGGCCGCCAGGGAGGTGGGATGCGCGCCCTGCCGACGACTCACGGCCGGATGCCGTATCGACAGCGGCCCGCCGCCCGCCCGACCGAGCGCACTGGGTCAATGGAGCGCCCGGTGGCGCGGGCGGCACGCGGCCGCCACAGCCGCCCTCAGCGACTGACCCTGACGGCCTCCCTGAGGTATCCCGGTGCGGCCTTGTAGCTACACGGCCGATCGAACGGTGTAGTCCTGGAGACACGGAACAGCCACCAGCCGACCCCAGATCGGGTCACGGTGGTTGGCTCAGACATGGAATACCCACCGACTGACCAGTGATCCCAGGCAGGAGACGTGAGACATGGAACAGCCATCAGCTCAATCCGAAGAAAGACGGCGTCGACCGATCTCATGGCACAGCTGGCCGATTGATTTGTTTTCTCTCATCTATAATAAATGCTGTGGTATGCATATTAATTTCGTTCAACATGTTATTGTTGCTGAATTACAATACATGAAATTCCAGCAATTTTTTAATGCCGATAGGGGAAAATATATCAAGGAAAATAAAAGGGCAAACAAGTGTCAGATAAGCACCACAATAATATAAAGGAAAAGGGCTATGCATGTGTGGGTCACAGGACCAATAAGCAAAACTGTGGATCTGTGTGAGCACATGTGCGGTATTGCAGGTCTGTGTACGTATTTGTATTTGTATTTGTATTTGACAGTTAAAACACTCTCCACAGTAAAGTGGCTATTCCGAGTGTCGCGTCACGGTTAAAAGGAAAAACAAGTTAAGATACACTCATCAATCACATCAAACAGAACACAATTCAAATCACACATTCATCCTTAAACACGCAGATACAACTCGGAAACAGAGCGTTTAAAAGCTCCCAGAGGGAGATGTCTAATGTCATGGGGCAGACGGTTGTACAACTGGGCTATGCTGTAGAGCAGGCGCCGCCTCCCTGCTTCGGTTCTCACGCGTGGGAGAGACAGATCAGTGTCCCGCCGGGTTGAGCGTGAGCGAAGGGAAGAGTTGGCCAGGATTTGGGAGAACATAGTATCCGGCTCTTCGGTGCAGCGTATTTTGTGGAGGAAGTTAAGAGAGTGGATTTCGTACAACTGACGGGCGGTAGGCCAGCCCAGTTCCTCTCGCACGTCCGATATGTGGTCAAATTTTCTTCGGCCGGACACAACGCGCAGCGCAAAATTGAGAACTTTTTGGAGGCGTTGTGTGTTTTTGTCCGACCCGTTTCCATAGACCGAGAGACAATATCGGACGTGCGAGAGGACCAAGGCGCTGACCACAGTAGGCAGAAGTTCACAAGGGATGTGGTGACGCACGTGGGACAGCCCAATGAGGATACCGTTGCATTTTTGGACGAGGGCCGATACGTGAGCGTCCCAGGTGAGGTGCTTGTCGAAAACCACGCCAAGGTTCCTCACCGTGGGGCCCTCACGGATCGTGTCCTCACGGAACCGAATTGAGATGGGATCCAGGCTGCGGCAATTTTGGCGCGAGCCAAAAACTATGAGCTCAGTTTTAGCTGTGTTAACTTTTAAGCCGTTGGTATGAAACCAGGCATCAAAAGAGTCCAAAATTTGTTCTAAAGTGGCGATGAGATGAGGGAGGGAATCTTTTTTGCCAGAAAGTAGAATTTGGGTATCATCAGCGTACTGCACCACGTGCGCCCCGGGAGCGAAAAGAGGGAGGTCATTGGCAAATATTTGGAACAGGAGCGGGCCCAGCGAGGATCCTTGGAACACGCCGATAGGATTGGGTAGAGGATCGGAGAGGACTCGGTTTCCTCGCCCGTCAGTTGTGCAAACTGATTGGGAATGGCCACGGAGGTAAGAGGAAAACCAGGTCGGATCGATAGAATAGGTTTGAAGTTTGGATAGTAGCTTTGAGTGGTCGATGACGTCAAAGCATTTGGAGAGATCGAGGAGACATAGGAGAGTGAGTTCCTGACGGTCGGTGGCAGAGAGGATGTGATCGGATACGGTGGCGAGCGCGGTTTCTGTGGAGAGACAAGAGCGGAAACCGTGCTGGGATGAGGAAAATAGATGGTTGCCAGACATGTAGGTGTACAGCTGCTGCTGAGCAACTTTTTCTACAAGTTTGGCAAAGGCAGGAACAATTGAGATAGGTCGATAGTTGGATGGATCAGTAGGATTGCCCGCTTTGTGGATGGGGTGGACGATAGAGTGCTTCCAGGACGCGGGAAATTCACAGGTTGTGAGACAGGTGTTGACAAAGTAGAGAAAGACGTGACCGATGGAGTCGAAACAGAGGCGTAGGATCCGGATGCTGACACCGTCGGAGCCGGAAGAAGAGGAATTTTTCATGGAAAAAAGGACACATCGGAGAGAGTGAAGGGAAATAGGTTGTAAGGTGAGTGCACAGGCGCCTACTCTAGGTAGTCTGCAAGGAAGAGGAAGGGGCTCCCCCCTGTCTCGGACCTCAGCCGCGACCCGAGGGCCGACCCCCACAAAGTAATCGTTCAGCTCGTTGGGGGTGGCCTCAGGCACGACTCGCTGAGTGGACCTCTTGCCCTCGATCACCTGCCGAAGGTTGCGGAAGGTGGAGGCCGGACCCTGCCTCCTCACCCGGCTAGCAATGTCGTTTTTAACGTCACGACGTATAGCAGATTTTACTTGTTTGTCCAGGGTGAGGAAGGCAGGAGTCCGGCCCTCTCGGGCAAGAAGTCCACGGCGCCGTGCCATGAGTCGCAGGGTGGTGTCCGAGGCAGGGGGTGCAGAGGGGTTGCGAAATTTGAGACACCGTAAGGGAGCATGAAAGTCCAGGATAGGTAAGAGTAGCTCAGTAAAGGCAGCCCACTGATCCGTCAATCCCACACGCGAGAAAACCGGGCTCCAGTCGGTGTGACAGAGCGAGTCATGAAAAACAGCGGTATCGATGCGGTCAAGGCGTCTAGAGTAAACAATGGTGGGTCGAGCTCGGATCTTTGGTATGGTAAGACGTGCTATGATAAAAGAGTGATCACTGTATGGACATGACATAACACATACATCCTGGACTAAAGTAGCGCAATCTGATATGAAAACGTCTAAAAGCGATCCGGTTCTAAAAGTTGACTGGTTGACAAACTGATGGAGACTAAAACAGTGTAAAAAGTCTGTGAGCCTGACCCTACCACAGTTCGAGTTCGAAGCGAGCAAGTCACAGTTCAAGTCACCGGCGATAAGAATGGGATCGGATGACATTAAAAGTACACGCTGAAATTGAGATTCAAAGCAGTCGAAGTCAGCTGATAAATGAGCACTGGTGGGGCGAGGTGGTCTATAAGCCGCGCATAAACTGAATTTCCTACCTCTAGAGTCTGACACTGACAGCCACAAGGTTTCAAGTTTGCAAGACCCGCAGTTGCACACCGACCGGAGCCGTTTGACTTTTAACCCAGTTTTACACAGAACGGCGACACCCCCATATCCCCTTCCATCGGAGCGATCAGCCCGTGTTAGAGAGTAGCCTGGGAAGTTAACAAATCTCGATAGAGTCTCAGGTTTCAGCCAGGTTTCCGATAAAATGCAGATGTCGCAGCTAAAATGATCGAGATCGTGACGCAATGACAAAATTTTTGGTTTCACTGATTGTACGTTAAGAGAGATAACACATAAACCCCCATCCCCAGCCCCACCGAGCACCCTTCCCGAAGTCCGTCCCTGTCCCCTTCGATGATGCTTGCCCGCACGTCTCCCCCTGGCACGTCCACGTCCGCCACGTCCGCCACGTCGAGCCGTACGCGCAGCCACCACACACCCGCCGCCGCCAGCTGACGGCTCCAGGCAGCCCACGTAGCGCGCGGCCCGTCCGTGCAGCGGCCCCGGCCGGCCGGCGATAGAGCTGCCGGTTTCCGCCGGTGCACGGTGCTGCCACGGGATAAAGGCCGGCGCGGCGGCAGAGGCGAAGACCCGCACCAGAAGCGCGAACAGCACCAGACGAAGGAGGTCCGGATCCATCGGGTCGGTCCGGAGGCAGAACGCCGCCGACCGGTCAGACGCCGAAGTTAGCTGAGCCCACGGCTCGGGCCCAGGCCGACAACAGGGGTCGTGGCGCCCTCGGCCCACCGGGTAGGTAAGACCGCCACTCTGGTAGACTGACCGCGGGCGGGTCAGCTGACGGCCAGAAGCTCAGCTGACCGTAGAGGCGAATCAGCTGAACGGTGTAAACAATCAGCCCCCGCAGTGAGACGCAGCAGGGTCGGACCGGACCGACCACGGGCCCCACCAGACCGGCGCCAGACAGCCGACGACTCGACAGCCCCCGAACTCGGAGGAGCCCCCACTGACACTCCCTATCACACTGTCCTCAAACACACCTCAGCACTCAGGGAAGACGGAGGCCGGTGCACACTCGCCAGGTAAGGAGGCGAGCGGCCCGCGCGTGTCGCACGTCCGAACGCGGCGCCGCGCGCGGGCCAACGTAGTGTGGGTCACAGAAGCAAAGGAATCTTGTGGGTTGATGTTGGTAATAAAACTGGTAGGACACTGGTGTGGGCAAAAAGGCCAATGGGATTATGTGGGTCGATGTGGACCACAGACCCAGTGTGGCAATCGGAGTGGGACATGGATCAATGCGGTATGGGTCACATTACCAAATGGGTAAAGCGGTTTGATAACGGACAACATCCTAAAAGATACCACGGATCGCCCGCAACCAATAGACTCGGAAGGAGATGATCCGGAGAAGATGGAACCAGGGTAGGAGAGGCCCCTAACGGTTGAGGGGGATGAGACTCGACCTTATAACCCCCCCCCCCCCCCCACACACACTTCATACAGCCCCGTGTCCGTACCATTAACGCCGGAAGGTCGAATTCGCTTGTCGTATCCGCTCGAGTTTCCGCTGCCCTGCGACAGGATGTTGTCCAGGATGCGTTTCTCCTTCTCCCGGAAGTTGATGCCGACCACACTGAAAACGCCACAGAAAACAAACGGTTACTGGAGATCCACGGCCGCAGCGCGGTAGTTGGCCGTGGGCCTGCCTCTCGTTGACCCCGAGTACATAAACGACCAGCACAATCAAAATGAACACTGTTAGTCCACGAATAGTTCTTGATGTCTAACCTTTGCAGTGTTCATTCCTCAATGTCATTGCAATTTACGATGTTGCATGCAAAATGCGGGTCAATCTATGTAGCCGGCCGGTGAGCAGTTCGGACAGCGGCAATATATGAGGGGCGCTCAAAAAGTTCTCGGCCCAACCATGAAGGAGTTGGAATTTCGGCCTACAACGCGGTGTGTTCAATGATGTGTTATTGGGATGTCCACTTACGTAGCCATTAACCAATCTGCCCTGTGATTGGTTCAGGCTGCTAATTAATCGTAACATAGTTTGCTATTCCCGGTCAGAATGGGTGACACCCAGAATAGAACAGTGATTTGGTTCATGTATTGCAGAAAAATGCACCAAACGTTATTTACGAAAAGCTAGTGCCAACACATGTTGAGGTTTGTCTTTCTTACAGTAGCGTCAAAAAGTGGGCATCTCTGTTCAATTTTGGTCAACAGATCATTAATGGTCACCCCCGCAGTGGCCAGCCATCAACAGCATTGACTCAAGAAAATATGAAAAATAAGCACTTCTTTGTAAAAAAATGACAAATGTTCTGGTCTGAAACAATGTAGCAGAAGCGGAGTTGTCTATCAGGTTCCTCAAAGCCATTCTTCGACAGCGTATTAATATGTTTAAGATCTCTGCAAGATGCATCCCCCGTTTGCTGACTGCATAGGAAAGGCAAACTCGAAAGGAGGCGTAACGCGAAAATTTTGGCCCCTATATCGAAGATCCAAAAGAGTTCATTGAACTACTTGTTACCGTGGAGGGATTGTGGGTGTCACACATTGACCCTCAGGGCGTGACCGAGTTGCACAAGTGGAAGCACACTGAGTAAAGGCCACCAAATGTGTGCGACGTGTTAAAGTCAGACGGCAAGGTGACAGTGGTTGCATTTTTGGATGATGGCGGGGCTCTGCTCGTTAACTTTCTAAAACAGGGGCGCACAATTAATGATGAATGCTACACCTCCCTTCGATAACAGTAGCGAGCAGCAGATATCAAGGAGAGACTAGGGAAGCTGACTAAAAGTGTGCGCCTGATCCAGGACCACGCACCAGCACACATGAGCAGGGTGACGATCAGCGAAGCAGTGAGCTGTGGCTTCGAGTTGTTGTCACAGCCACTTTTTTCTTCGTACCTTGCACCCTAAGGCTGCCACCTCTTCCCCAACATAAGGAAATTGCCTAGCAGTGGCAACTTCGCTGACAGCAAGGAGACAAAAGCAGCCGTCTTGGACGTGCCAGATGCGTCCAAAACCCACTTGGCTATGGAGACCCAGGGGCCTCTCGCGAAGCGCTGCGCGAAATATTTTTGTCTTAACGCTGGTTATTTGACTAAATGAACATTTTTGGTCTAATGAGTCGACGTCGTATCTCTGCTCCTTCATGGTCGGGCCGAGAACTTTTTGAACGCCCCTCGTATTGTAGGAGCTCTGTCGAAGAACTGACCCCGATACCCCAGGTGATAGTCTCCGCAATCTAGTGACTGGGATCCATGGCCCTTTTCTAAGACTGGTTTATATTTGAAGTCGAGAAAGTATATCGGAGATCAGCCCACAATTTAAATTTAGTGCTTAAAGCAGCAGAGATAATATACCAAACATCGACCGCTGTTTCCCATGCTCCTACATTGGATCCCTGCTCTGCAACTCTAAATAATTTCCCTATCTTCGTTACAAAACGCAAGACCGTGTGCCAATAAGGTAACCGTTTCATAGAATATCTACAATGCAAGAATAAAGTGTACAGCTTACAGCCACCACCCCCCTCCTCCCCACACACCTACGGAATCACTGACGGCTCAGTTCCGATCGGACCCATCAGTCTGGGAGATAAGTGCTTCTCTGTTCCACTCCGAAGGCCGTTTCTGATAGTTTCCGGTGAAAGTCGGCTCTAAGTTTATCACATAAGACGAAAGCGCTTAAACTTGGCGTGATGTGACGAAGTTGGCCGGTAAACAAGACTTATAAGGCTCCCTAATATTTATGGTTATTAGTCTGGAAAATTAGCGTGCCCGCAGTGCAGCATTCTCGAAAAAATGGTGTAAGTCAACAGACATGAAGACCTCACGGCAATGATACGATGACTGGTAAAATGGAGATAATTAAAGCGTAATCTAAGTGACGCCATTGTTACCATATTTCAATGAATTTAGGTAAATCCTTGAATACTGGTCGGAATACTGATATGCAGATTCTGAGACAGTAAGGTATGTGTTCATAGGAACTCATGTTCACACTCAGATGAATGTTCTTTTTAATCGTCCTTCTTGGTCAGCCGTAACGCGGATTGAGACAGGAATGGTGACTGACCTGACGAAGAATGTGGTGGTGATGGCCACGCTGAGCAGAGCTCTCATCAATCCGGCACTGACCGGCCAGCCCATGGTGACGGGTCGGTCAGACTCCTGAAACAAATGCACAAACCGTCAATGGTTTTGTTTAACCACAATTTAACCAAAACAAAATACTGTAGTGTTATGAGGTTATCGGTGGAGCCAACAAATAACTAAATGCACTTACTTTTATTGACGTTTCGGTTTCAAACAACCTTCGTCAGAACAAATCAGAAAATACTGTAGGTATTATAAGCAAATACAGGGCAGTCAATGCAAACAAACACCAAATACTTTAAGGAAAACACCGTTTGTGTTTGACTAATAAAAACCATAGTGACTTAAAATGCCTCAGCATCGCGCACTTTCAATAATTTGCACGAACATCACAATGTGAAAGGCCGCTCCTAAAATCAATGTACGGCTCTTAGAACACAAGCACAAACACCACGCACTAAACCCATGGAAATGGCACAGCTCAATCGCTATTCGCGTTTGCAGAAACACTTAGCCATTTGGGGTCGTCAAAGTCCCTCATTGTTGCATGAAGTCGCCCCTCCAGCGTTGATGGAACAACGAATGACCCTATGACACGCCACAAACGCCGATATAGCAAACGCAGCAGGCACGTTAACTAGTGAAGCACTGCGCCCAGAAGGCACACCAACTTACCTTTTGTACCTTTGAAAACGTGGGACATGAATACTGCGGAAGAACTCTTCGGTTTTGTTCTTCAGTTTGCGTACGAATCTTAGTTAACTGCCTGAGCAGGTTAATCCAAGACGTAAGCTCCAATAATTATTTCAGTTTTAGCACCATCAGTGTATCTAATGATCCAATTTCAAGTTACCTACCTATAATATGTAGGTACCAAGGATTAGGATCATAAAATTTGGTCATAGATGATTCAACTCACCATTCCTATTTAAAATTTTACTTTTTCGCGAATACCGTTGTCCACGGATGAGCATTGAACAATGCAAAATCGGAAGATTCTTTCGTACCAAATTTTTAATTGGAGATTTTACAATATCAAGCATTTTAGTACAGCAGACACATCGACACATTCAACCGAGCCTTTTAGCATAATCAGGCGTCATTTTGCCCAAACTTTGCCTGTAACGCCCATTCCGCCAACAACTAGCATAATTACTCCCGCCAAATAGGCGACGGCTGCACCATTCGGCAGAGGCAAATGTCACACCACAATGTGCCTGGCCCGGTCTGTGTGTGGTTCTGCCGCCCACCCCCGCGGTCCCACCCAGCGGCGCTGTCGGACCCCATGGCCGACGAGGGTGGACGTCGTAGGCCACCCCGTCAGCCGTTGTAAATCACCGCGCTTAGCGGCAACTGCCGGCGCCCGGCCGGCGATGGCGGCCTATTTGTTATCGAACCCATCATCAATAAGGATAAGCCATGCGCCTGGCCGTTGTAACCAGCTCAGAGCCAAAGACGGCCTGGACCCGGGCGCCGCAGATACGAAGCAGCGGCGCGCCGCGGTCCGCCGCGCCGGCGAATGGCGTGTGTTGCGGGCCAGCCTACCTGTCAGGCGCCGGTGTGCTGCGGGTCAGTCTACCCGTCCAGTGACTCGCGGCCGCGGCCCGCACTGAACAGCGGAAGACCTGCGCGAGTTGCAGACTGAACACCGACACCGGACCAGAGTAACATATCACCGGACTGGAGCGTCAGTGGTGTCTGCGTGACGCCAGCAGTGCGACTGTCCGACCAGAGCTGCCCTGGCGGTGAGGCCGCCAGTGCCGCCCACAGGGTCGAACAACCACCGCCCACCGACCATTTACCGAGTACTGGCCGGGTATAATTTATTTTGACGACAGGTCGAACACCGAAGTGATTTGTCCGGGTTTATGGATACCACATTGGTATTCATTTTAGTGTCGGTAATAGATGACATGGTGTACCGGGTACACTCCACTATACGACATTGTTCATTCCGGCGATATTTTCTCCTGTGTCGGCGCTGTGTCGGCGGTGATTTGTCTCAAGTTCAGGTGACAAACGACCAGCTGACAGGTCGATAACCGACAACAATCAGGCAGCGTCGGTACGGGCGCGCCCCTGTGTCTCCGGCACCGGCCATCAATAGACGGACACTGATCACTGGCCTAACGCGACAGGAGCGGTGCCATTACCACACCCCGCCCGTCGGCGACACGGAACGGGGCGGGGCCGGTTGGTCGGTGACACTTTCAGCCGGACCGGTCCGCGCCGCACTCAACAAGCAAACCCTGGTCACTAGGCTATGTATAATAGCAAGTTGATATTTATCTTTTAACGGCCAATGCGCTGTAGTATTAATCAATATTCATATGACCTTAAAAAAAATCAGCCTCAAAACTTTTCAAGATTTGTGTTTCTAAAAAAGTTCACGATAACCGATTATCAAATGGAAATAAGGCGATACGTAGAACACGTAAATAACGATATTACGTATATCAGTTCCAAGGGTACCATGCAATTCAGCATTAGTCCAATCTAGTCTCGCGGAGTAAATACAACATTGCACGCCTAATCTCCTCAGTGTGGGAGCGTGAAACGGCGGCCAAAGGCAACCCCGGCATTCAGCTATTCACCCTATCAGCTATTCAGCTGAAATTAATGGTCTTAGGCGACGGTGAAACAAGCAAGGACTGGGAGCCAGTGCACCGGAATTATCCGACCCGTAGATAATCCCCTTGTATAGAGCATATTCCATACCAAGAAAGACAACTTTATCCAATAACACCGCGAGTTGCCGGGCCCAGAGCGAGCTATGAATTTCTGGTAGGCTCAGCGGCGAATAAAACATTTATCAGAACAGCAGTCATGCGCAAGTGCGCATACCTACCATACTGACCCGTGGTCGCGGTCAGGGCACCGCAGCGAACCACATGCAACATGGAAGGCCTCCCAGGCACGGTGGAGGCCGATCACACGTGAAACAGCGATATGCGCTCGATACATGGCCTGCCAAGGCCACCTGACACAGACTACGTAAACGCGGCAAACACGGAAACGTCACGAACATGCTAAAAAACGAAAACCTGACCGCGAAATTAAGTACATTGGGTTTGATTGGTTTGATTGGATTGGTAACGCGTCGTGAACACGAATCATCGGAAGTGACATATATTGTAATTTGTAGGTTATCCTATCAGCAGATGCTGCAAAAACTCCAGACATTTTTAGCTCCGCAAATTTTATACCTAACTATTAGATATCTTAACAATAACTGACTTGTAAAGGCGCAGACCACCCCATCTACAGTGCACTATCTCAGAGTACCCAGCCCACTATCCATACGTAAGTAGATACCTATGGATACCATAATCCCATCCATGAGGCACACCACACCGTCGACCTCCCGTGGAAGTGAGTGGTAAGGCGGCGCGTGACTGTGTCGGCCGAACGTCATTAGGCACCATTAGATGCGCCGTGGACACACAGCCCCGTGCGCCTCCCGATGACAAGCTGCAAAACTACAGGGTCCGCCCACAACAAAGAACTCGCCAAGTGCTCTGGTGATAGGTTCTGTCAAACACTCGAACTTACGAGTATTGTAAACAGACGTAAAAACCAGTTCTGAAATTGTAATTGAATGAGGTGCAAATCAAGCGTGCAGTTATTACTTAAAATCTTGAACAATTCGGAAAACCAAAATTGAAGTGCCTTATGGGCTCAATATTGACAATCGAACCGTATTGGAAATACTCTGAAAAAACCCTAACAATGGAAAGTTTTCATCAATTTAACAATTAAACAAGTGAATTATAGAAAAATAATAGTAACTGCTTCCCATCCCTGTCCCACCCGAAGTAGCCTCAGATCGGGTATACCGTGTAATGTAACTTGTAAGCATGAAAGTACGGTCAGCAATCTGTTTACCCTCAACTGCAGTGAAGCGACAAAGTCACAATAAGTTGATATGCGCATCTATTCATATCTGGATCTGATCCCAGTTTTTACAACAGAAAAATCACCGGCCGCAATTGCCTTAGCCTAAAGACGCCCACGAGTTTCGCCCTCCACGCGAACAAATAACCGCTGATGTGAAAAATAATACCTGCCCGCCTGATATTCTTCACATCAGCTTTTTTTTGCGCGGTTGCTGAGACGTGCGGGCGACTTTTGCGAATAAAAATAACAGCAGCCGGCGCTTTACATTTGGTAGAACTGGCCTCTGTATCCCTTACGTGCTCTATAATTCGTCTTACATCGAATTTTTACCACAATAATCTGAGTTCCAATGTAAACCAGGGAGATCAAAGGCACCCAGTCTCCAGGTGAGCTACATTCAGAATATCTGCTGCGATCGGCCAGGCACGGCTGTGGCACCACGGTTACGTCTCGCGGTCACTATGCCCAAAAGACAGTCGCCGGGGCAGGAACTGCTCTCGGTCTCTGGGCGGCTCCTGACGTCAGCGGCGGCCCGTGGGCGGCCCACGGACCGCCGGGTCGTCAGAGGCGCGGCCGGCGCCGTTCGACTCGGACGCGATGGACGTCACGGCAGGCGCGTGCCGCGACTGGAAAGGTGCCGCCGCGCCGCCGGCCGGCCGACCTGGGGCTGTCGGCCGGCCACTCCGCTCGCCTGTTGAACTGGAGACTGGCTCACCCTCAGGGCTATTTATGGCGGTCACGAGCGGCAGCTATCTCAGCTGCTGTTCATTGCCGCAGAAGTCCTATACCAAGTTATGACCACGAACGCTGCTGAAATCGTGATGAAATATTGACGTAGGAGTCTCGACAGGTCCGACATTAATAACGGTTCCCGTTATCCATCTCATAACGATTCAACAGGGGCTTCAAGTGCAGATACGTGACTCTCGCAGAAAACATCTCCAAGAAGAGACATCTTCCAAATCCATTGTCATCTGCATCAACGAGCTGGCAAAAAAAGACGACGCAAAATCCCACTTATCGAGCACTTGCGACACCGATCCTACTCGGCAGGCTGTCGCAAAAACAGCCAGCCAGCGTCGTTCGCCAGCCGGCGGTAGGTGGGCGGACAGATGACAGCGATTAGCGCTCGCCCCCTTCAGCTGGTCGAGTGACGGACGTCGTTCGCGGCCAACGCCGGGAGCCGGTGTGGGTTGGCAGCCGGCCGGGACCGGTTCGTGTGGCGACAGAGACGGAACGAGTCCGTCGGCGATCGGTGCCACTCCTGGCACACCGGGTGTTTTCACTGACGCGACAGATCCTGGCGCAGCACGCACGGCGGCACCAATGCAACACCAGCTGCACCACTGGCTACACCGCCTAACGCGGCGCACCAACAGCGCCGCATCGCCCGCGGCTCGCGAGAAATGTGATTACGTAAATCGGTGTGACACGTCAGAGTCCTTGCCTGACAATAGAAGCGATATAAATTAGATTTACTGGAGGCAACAGGCTTGTGGAACACAAAAGACAGCAAGGCCGTCCCTGGGGATCGTTGATGAAAACATCAGCGAAAATCAATATGTTGCGCTCTTGAGCGTTAGATGTTCTTGAAATATGGGGAAAACCCCCATAAAAAGAAATGAATAAAATACCACAGCGGCGATGCTTTTTAGAGATTTTACCTTGGTATAACCTCGTCCGATGTCTAGGATTTTCAATGATAAAGCAAAACCTGAAAACCTGTAATAGGAGTGAATATTACACTTGAAGTATCACACGGCATTAGCATTCAGTTGCCATGAAATCTATTTTATATCTATCAAGATCACATGCCGTCACTGACTTCACGGAGTAAGAACGGATAACACCAGCCGATGCCTCCCATGGGAGAGCTGAGCGAACACAGTGCCTTGGACGGTCGAGTCGGAGCCGACCATGTCGCTGATCGACTGCCTGTCCCAACGGCCGTCCTCGCCCCACGCACGAGACAGACTCGAGTGCCGCTTCCGGCGATCGACATGGCCCGTCGGCTTGAGACAGTGGCAGGTGTACCCGATAACTGACCGAAAGACAATAATGGCAACGGACAGCCAGCCACAAAGGACCATCAGAGGACAATGCTGGAGACGGCACGCGAGGGAACACATGTTTAGCCGAACTAAGCAATGACGACGTTTGGAGGTAGACAAATACTTCAGAAAAGAGCAAAGTGCTACTGCAGAATCGATTTTCCCCGTGTTATCCATAGCTCAATGCTCATTTGGATGAAGGTAGGATAAAGTTGTTACGACAATATGCATGACACAAGCGGAAAACCGAAAACCTTGACCACGCACAAATCACAATCATCAAGCCAAATGATAGCTCAGGGGAACAGGGAAACACCTCTCACCGGCGATGCTCAAAATTGGAGAAGGAATCAACCTGTCCGACCTTTTTAGGGATTAACCGGCCGTGCCCAGCTTTGAAGGGCACACTTAAGTTCGGCATCTTAATTATCCCCTCACCTGCCGGACGGTAGGAGTCAGGATCTTAGCAACAAGCGCTGCTTAGCGAGGGCCCTGGCTCTGTCAATCCGTCAATTTAATCACTCGAGCTCAATTTATATATAAAAGCTTTACAAGGAGAGACACCCACAGAATATGAAATAATTGTCGCACGGCCTGCCAGACCCACCGTTTATAAAGCATACATCTGCAGAATATGGAAAAATGATCACACAGCCGGCCAGAACCACCGCCCATCAGAGTTGGCACGCCGTCTGATCACAGCTGTGTCGCGCACTGAGCGCGCGGGACAGCACGCGTGCGACCACCCCATTAGTCGCACGGATGGCGTGAGTCAATTGTCGGCCCGTCAACGGTGTTGTAAAACACGGCCGACGAGCGGCGCCGGCCACAGATTACCGCTAGTCGACAGGACAGCAGGCGCGTGACCGCCATCGGTCACCGCGACGGAGGGGTGGACGTGACGGGGACACGGGTCGGGGCGAGGGTCGGACCGGGTCGGGTCGGACCGCGGACCGGGCACTCACCGTGCGCAGCTCCTGGCATCTCCGCCGCCGGGCCGCCGCCGCAGCAGCCCGATCGCCGCCGACGACGACGACGGACGACTGACGCTCGACGGCGCGCACTATCGATTCCGACGACGGCGCCGGTCGGCCGCTCTTGCACGCGGCCCGCCGCGCCGCCCGTCCGGCCGCGCGCCGACCGGCCCGGGCAACAAGGGCACCGGCGCGCGTGCCGGCGCTGCCGCTCAGCATCGTTCGACATAACAGATTTCGGCCAAAAAACCATGCGGCGCTCCCAACTTGGAACGGCCTCAGCGCGCCGGATAAAATGATTACAATGATAGGCGATAGAAACGGGTGAATTACAACTATAAACTACAAGCGTAGCCGAGGAGCTGTCAGTTACTTCGCCTGTCTACGGAGCTACAATAGGGTAGCTCAGTTAGGTTGGGTCGGGTCAGGTCAGGTCGGGAAAGTTTTCATTTTCTGTCTCTGATGCCTCCCTTACTGCAAGATAAACGCCTAGCTGCAGTGAGGCGGCAGATTTCAGTCCAAACCGGGAGAGCGCCTCTGTCAAAGTCCATTACCGAATGAGAGAGTGCCGGATTGCGCCCGGATCAGTGCGGACCAAATCGTCAGATTAATGGGGTCAAACGACAGGGACGGCGTGCACCGTATTAGCGTCGGTAATTACCGCGTTACCGTGTGCCCGAGTATTTTTGTACGACCGGACCGCAGCCACCTACCGCGTGGGCGCGCCGGGGATTCAGGCATGGTGGTGGATTATATGATCAATACCGTCAGTTGGTACTGTTAGTCCAGAGACCGAAATTGTATAATAATGCGAACGGCAGGTTCCACGATGTCAATGACGCACGCCTATCATCTGCATCAGACGTATCAAATGGTCATGATTGAGGTGATATCTGAGAAACACGGATGACAATGATGATGGGGATCTAGAACAGACACCGGCAAAACAACGAAATAGCTCTCCAAACAGCCTTGCGAAATGATGCGTCGTTAGAAAATATCAGTATCGAGTGGTTAAGATTGAGCACCTGTCACCACATGTCTGACTACATTCAGCAGTGCTTTCCTCCATCAGTCACAAGCTCAGCTCGTCTGATGGGCACCACAAACTACTCGCAACATGTGTTGCGTACGAGAATATCAGCAAAGCATTACCTTGCAAAGACGATTGATAAAATACGCAAAGAACATCCAGCAATATAGAAATGCTGAAATGCAAATCATAAATCGAGGTTGATTTCGTTATATAGGTACACGAATACCACATGTCAAGATAATAACATATGACAGTGAAAATGATCCGGTGCTATAGGTAAGCTAGTCAAAAACTTGAACGTCCACAAAAAATGTCAGTCGTGAGAACTGGTACCTGACGTCACTTATTGTCCTGGAGCAGCCGACCAATACCCGCCAAAACCCAATCAGCTGCCCACCCAGATAAACCCAAACAGCTGCCGACCCAAAAAAGCCCAATCCCAGACCCAATCAGCTGCCGACCCAGACAAAGCCAGCTACAGGCCCAATCAGCTGCCGACCCAGACAAGCCTAAAACCAATCAGCTGCCGAACTAAACTCACCCAAGCCCCATCAGTTGTCTATCCGGAACATATCAGCTTCCGATCCCCCTCCCCCCCCCCCCACAGCTGCCGAGCGACCCAGTCCGACCCAGAGGACACCATTAGAGCTGCCGTTTGTATTATAACTTTGGCGACCGAGATTACACCGAAATCACAATTGCGATAAGCGTCTATAAAAGGGACGCCATTTAATTGCGTCCCAGAAAAGCTATTTCTGGCACCTAAAAGCTGACTCGCCCCAAAATTGGTCCTCAGCTCCTATTTGGTGGATACCAGCACCAATCATGGAAAATGACCTTAATTAGCTGTTTCTGGCATCTATTCATCGGTACGCCTTATTCTTTTTTCTGAATCTGGCACCTAAATGCTGAGCGTAGCACCAATCTAGTAGAAAAATGAACAACTGGCTGGTAGAATCATGTTGTTCTGGTATAATGACCCCTGGAGTCTAGCCTAAAGGTTGCCAGTGCAGCTACACTCTAAGACAGCCCCGTAGTGATCTCAGCATTGTATATGACGTTTAAGTAAGCAAATAATATTAATTTGTTTGAAAAAAACAATGTCATTTAAATATTTAAAAGCATTTATTTGTATTGCTTAAAGGGAAACATTTTTGTGAGTAATTGTCTCGATTTTGACCATTAAAACGGGCATTGTATTTTTTGACGTCATCAAATAGCTCCAAAAAAGAAATGTAATTTTTTCATTCCGTTCAAGGCCGCTGAAGAAACGCGGGATCTTGCGTGGGACATTGTCCGTTGTTTGCCGCGCAGAGTTGTGCCGTGGTTGTGCCTTTTTCATCCGTTTCTTACGTATGGCATATGTGTGCATGAAGCTTTGATTTTGTTTTTGGTTATTGTGTGGCCGCCGGCCGGTCAGTCAAACGCCCCTGTAGAAACCGGATGCTGCGTTTGATCGAGATGGAGTTAGACGATGATTGCAGAAAGCTAATAATATTGAAAAGAAGGCCGGTTGTGTGGCATGTCTGTTCAGAGTTGACATTTTGCTTTACTCCAGTTTATGACCTGAGAGCCTGGCTGGAAGTGACGGATCCAAACTTGTCACGTTAAAATGGCTGAGGGTGCCAGTGGCGTATCCAGGATCTTGAAAAGGGGGAGGCCAAACCTGCTCAAGGGGGCCCCACCCTTACCTTAGGGGCCCCAGTGGTAAACCCACGCACAGGTGCGGTTCTTTGCCACTGAAGAAACGAAGCGAACGAGCCGCTCAGAGTCACCGGTGTTGGTCCCTCAGACGTGTCTATGAAAGGCCGTCAGATGCGCTGGTGTGGGGTCCACACAGGCGCCGTTGTGGGGGCCTTAGGGCTTAGAGACGTTGGTAGGGGCTGTCATAGGCATGTATGGGACCCTGAAAGTTACTAGTGGCCCTTCATAGGCCGGCAAGGGAACCTCAGAGATGCCGGTAAGAGGCCCTCAGAGTCGCTGGTAAGTGGCCGTTAGATGCGCTGGTATAGGGCCCTCGGAGGCGCCGGTGAGCGGGCCTTCAGAGCCGCCGATGTAGGCCGTTAAGAGGCGCTGGTGTGGGACCCTGAGAGGTGGCGGTGGCCGGTGAGGGCCCTCCCAGTCGCCATTGTAAGGGCCCTCAAGAAATACTGGTGTGGGCCGTGGGGGAATAACAAACAGGTGTGGGGCCCTTAAAGCTGATCCCTCATTGGTCGGCAAGGGCCCTCAGAGGCCGGCAAGGTCCTTCAGAACCTCGGGTGGGGCCCTTCTGGAGATAAGTGTGGCTACATAAGAGCCCATGACGTGTTCTCAAAAGCCCCGTGGTGTCCTTTCACTCCTTTCCAGTTGAAGCGTGGCCAGCGCGGACCCTCTGATGTAAATTGGCACCGTAGGGCCCCTCGGGCCCGAGGGGACCCTAAACCACATAACGGACACGTGTCCCTCGCCCCCTGGCTATGTCATTGAATCCAAGTGATCAGGGGCCGTTAAGGCAATCAGGGGCCTCTCAGGTGACTGCAGAGGCTTTTCAATTGATCAGGGGCCCACCAGGTTACCGTGACCAGGAGACCCTCTGATAATCAAAGGCCGGTTATACCAGGGACTCCACGGGCAACTAAGGGTCTTCATGTGACTGCAGAATCCCTTCAGATAACCAGGTACTCCCCGGGTAAACATGGACCCTTCAGGTGACCAGGGCTTCTTCAGATGACTGGCCAGGGGCCATCCAGGAAATCAGGGGCCCCTTGGGTAACTAGGGGCCACTCAGATAACCAGAGGTCCCTCAGGTAACCGGAGGCCCCTCGGGTAACCAGGGGCCCCTCAGGTAACCAGGGGCCATCGTAACCAGGGGTCCTTTACCAGGAGTCCTTCAGATAACCAGGGGTCCCTCAGGTAACCAGGGGTCCCGTGACCAGGGGCCCTCAGGTAACCAGGGCCCTTCAGATAACCAGGGACCCCTCAGGTGACCAGGGGCCCCTTGGGTAGCCAGGGGTCCCTTAGACAACCAGGAACCTCTCGGACAACCACGGGCCCCTCAGATAATCAGGGGCCCCTCAGGTAACTAGGGGCTCGTCAGATAACCAGGGCTCCTCAGGTAACCAGGGGGCCCCTCAGGTACCCAGGGCTCTCAGGTAGTTAGGGGCCCTCTGTGTTTGTGACTGTGATAGATATCGCTCTTTGATATTGTTTTTTTTTTTCGAGTAAAAGACATTCTGTAGTACTGGAATTAAAGGGACACTCCCACCTTAACATTAGTTTTGAGTTGAGATAGCCAAATTGGTGGCCATGGCCTGCAAATATCGGTTTGGGCACTCACAACATCGACAAATGCTTTAACCCTCGCCGGACCTATTGGTTTTCTACATACGCGCCGGCCGAGGGGGGGGGGGCGGGTACGACCCCCCCCCCCCTCGCCGTTTCGCCCCTGGTGGAGCTAGCGCGTCGCGGAAAAAAACGAGCGTGTGCGCCGTTACGAGACGCAGAGATTGGTACCCGATTTTAAGGTTCTAGGTCAACCGGTGACCTCTGAGGTCAGGTCAAGTGCCCCAGGGTACGGTTCAGTTTTTGGTGAATAACTTCGCAAAAAACGGCCGCAGAGCCGCGATTTTGGCAGCATCGTGTTCGCCTTGCTCAGGCGCGTCGAATGATGTACTTTTTGTTCGGGTCAGGTCAACTTAGGGTGTTGACCTCAGGTCAAGGTCAGGTCAGCACCCCCAGGTCACGAAGTTGGTCGAAAGAGGTCATGTCGCATATCATTCGATTCGGCAGGTCTTCCTGAGTCCATTGGTGGCTTTCTCAACTCGCTAGCTCAATTTGATCGGGAGTTATTGACGAAAAACTAATATGACCTTGATGACGTCATAAATGACGTCACGGAAGGTCAACATTGCAAAAGTGACGCATCTAACCTTGCAAGGAGTGCATCAAATCACGATTCTGTGTGCTTGAGATAGTTGGAGATCGTTCCCGGCGCCAGAATAGCAGTTTTCATTTTTCCCCATTGACTTATAATGGTGAGGTCACGAAAAT